TGACTGATAGCACTGTTCCTCGCCGACCTGGGACCCAAGAGGGCTAGCAGGATCCGCAAGCTCTTCAACCTGTCCAAAGAGGATGATGTCAGGCAGTATGTGGTCAGGAGACCCCTCACTAAGGAAGGTAAGAAGCCCAGGACTAAGGCCCCTAAGATTCAGCGCCTGGTTACACCACATGTACTGCAGCACAAGCGCAGACGCGTTGCTCTCAAGAAGCAGCGCACACTGAAGAACAAGGAGGAGACTGGCCAAGAGGATGAAGGAGGCCAAACAGAAACGTCAAGAAAAGGTTGCCAAGAGATGCCGTCTCTCGTCTCTGAGAGCCTCCACACCCAAGTCAGAGTCAAGCCAGAAGTGAGACATGTACCTCACAAATAAAACATGATTTTGTTTAACATTCTAAAAAAAATCAGGAAGCGTGAGAAGGACATTCCTGGGCTGACTGTTCAAAACGAACAAGGGAAGGGAGTGTCCTTCCAGCATCCTCCTCCGTAAGTGCTTCGTCCGAAACGGATTAAATTTGCGTGCCTCTGAAAAATCCACATTTGTGGGAATGTCTCTTGATCGAAACGACAACAGAGTATGTCTGGTGTAGGCAGGGCCATCCTTAGGGGGGTGCAACTGGTGCGGCTAAACTTTACTGGTGAGATACTGGTTTGCTTTATTCAGCCCATACAGATTAGTTCCGACTTCATATTTCTTATTAATAGAGTTGTTTGTTCCCACCAATTGCTGCACAAGTTCAGGTTACGTATGATGACGAAAGCACATTAGTGCCAGCCCTCCCAGAACTCATTGAGATTGCATTGCAGTGCCTGCAGTTTGGGAAAAAAAAAATCTTTGTATGGAGGTCTATTGCTGCGTCCACAATCGCATGCTTCCCTACTATATAGTGTGCGAGGAGAGTAGTATGTCCGAATTCATAGTATTCGAAAAACAGTAGATGAGAAAGGAGGACCAATTGTTTTGGAAGCTGTGGCAGTTATACGTATGAGTATGAGTATGTCCTTATTCTTAACAGATAGCATGCCAAAGAAACAGGTGGAGCAATATAGAAGAATAGATTGAATCATGCTCTGATACAGCAGCAAAAGGAGATGGGGAGCAACATAAACATATTAAACAGACGGTTTGTTAAGTAGTTTAATGAGATAGTTACAAAACTTAAGGGAATTAAAACAATTTTATTTCTCATTTACCTTTTTACTTTTGTTGATATTTTGAGAGAAATTTATTGGATACATAGCAAGCTACTGTTAATAAGTGCCTCAGCTTGTTTACTGGTGAGATACTGGTTTGCTTTATTCAGCCCATACAGATTAGTTCCGACTTCATATTTCTTATTAATAGAGTTGTTTGTTCCCACCAATTGCTGCACAAGTTCAGGTTACGTATGATGACGAAAGCACATTAGTGCCAGCCCTCCCAGAACTCATTGAGATTGCATTGCAGTGCCTGCAGTTTGGGAAAAAAAAAATCTTTGTATGGAGGTCTATTGCTGCGTCCACAATCGCATGCTTCCCTACTATATAGTGTGCGAGGAGAGTAGTATAAGCTGTGGCAGTTATACGTATGAGTATGAGTATGTCCTTATTCTTAACAGATAGCATGCCAAAGAAACAGGTGGAGCAATATAGAAGAATAGATTGAATCATGCTCTGATACAGCAGCAAAAGGAGATGGGGAGCAACATAAACATATTAAACAGACGGTTTGTTAAGTAGTTTAATGAGATAGTTACAAAACTTAAGGGAATTAAAACAATTTTATTTCTCATTTACCTTTTTACTTTTGTTGATATTTTGAGAGAAATTTATTGGATACATAGCAAGCTACTGTTAATAAGTGCCTCAGCTTGTCAGTGTAGCATTGATAGATTGATCAGCAATCATCGCTAATGTTTAAATCCTGTTTTGATGTTACAGGGACTGATGAACACAACCATGTTCTCATCCAGTGGAGAGTGGCTAATGAAGCCTTCTTCACTGGAAAGCGTAACCTTAATGCTGCAATTAAAGGGCTTGAGTAAGTAAATGAATATTAATCTTAACTACACACTCTCTTTACATTTATTTATGTTAGGATCTCCATTGATTCATGCATTTTTAACAAGTTTTAAACATTATTTTCCATGGATTTACAATAGCTATATTGTGTCAGTTGCAAAGTGCTTCATATGTGGCATTGAGTAACTGTTTTTAAAGCACTTGTGTGCACACTGGTTTTGTAGCATTTCCAGCTGTTTTTTAAACGAGCAAAACCTTAACATCTTAAGAATATTGTCTTGAGAATGGGTGCCACACTTTAGAGAAATACCCATACACCAAGTCGCATTTAAAATGTGTTCTTTATTTTTTTTTTTCTACACGAACAAGAGCAAAAGCTTCAGACAAAACCACTTAACTTTTCCATAAAGTAGTATAATAGAGCTTAAAACAACACCAAAAGGAAATTTCTTAAAACATTTTTATAACAGTGTCAGGAAAATTAACTTCAACATTCAGTTAGGTAACTTTCACAGACAGGTTTCAAAACACTTAAAATACATAAATATAACTTCAAAACAATATCAAAATATTTTTCTTCCCCTGTATGTGTACAAGATGAAGACTTTAAATTTGGGTGGGGAAAAAGTTGAGTGGGAAAAAAGTGGGAGGAGGTATATACATCAATTTGACTGCACTACTTAAAAGTCTTAAAATGACCTTCATAAAGCCTGCAGAAGCCCTGAAAAAGCTGCTTCCTTTTTCATCACAAGGGCTGCCAGTGGCAGTGAGCTGTAAGCAAGAGGGATGCACACAGATGCAGTGCACCTCTAACTACTGCTGATGCACTTTATGCATCACAACACCACGTGGGCTGTGCGCACACACACACCTAAATTACATATGAATTAACTAACTTACACAAGCTCAAGCAATAGCAATATAAGAACATGAACTGATTTGCAGAGTCTTAACCTGTTAAATTGTCCTACAGGTAATCGTGCTCATGAAGAGAAAGCACACCGTTGTCTGATGCGGACACACCTGCGGCCAGATTGTCCCGCACATCCTCTCCTGTGCTGGCTTCTGTGTTTTGGGTGTTCAGGCTGGTCATCGTCATGATCCTCCACAACTTCTGGATCAACATGGATGTAGGTGGGGGGATGTCCCTATTCAGAAGACAGAGGTTGTGGAGCACCGCACAGCACTCAACAACATCTGGCACAAAGGCAGGGCTGACTTTCAGGGCCTTGAAGAAGATGGAGCACCAGCGTGTCTTCAGCATCGAAAGTGGTAATAATGATGAAAAACATCGCCGATGTTCGTTCAGTAGAGTGGGCTCTTTAAATGTTCGCGCTGTTGTGGCGACATATGTCATGTAACAATGTCAACATGGCAGATGTAGTACGTACGTCTGAATTTCATTCATAATACTCACATTCATACTATATAGAACATACTTTTTTATGAGTAAAATCGCTCCAAAAAGGGGCGGTACTCCACATAATGTGACTTGACGCTGATTGGACTATATATCCAGAGGCAGCCCTGCTGAAAACCCCCCCAGCTAAAACCAGCCTAAGCTGGTTGGCTGGTTTTAGCTGGTTTAAGCTGGAAGTTGCTAGTTTTAGCTGGTGTCCCAGTCTGGCCAAGCTGGTTTAAGCTGGTTGGCCAGATGATCTCCCAGCCTGACCAACTAAGACCAGCCTGACCAGCGAAAGAAGTGGCCAAAACCCCTCTAAAACCAGCCTGCTGACCAGCTAAAATAAGCCAACCAGCTTAGGCTGGTTTTAGCAGTTTTTTTTCAGCAGGGAGAACAAACAGTCTAGAACAGTAACAGCTAGCGTAAAGCCCAAAGTCCCAATACTTCACTTTTTACGCGTACGCGAGAGACAGCATACAGTGCGTAACTTTGTACGTGCAGGTCACACATGCGCATTGAATTATTTTTGCAGTAATCAGATGTTCCACAAAGTAGCAACACTGTCCCGGGCCGTTGTTTTTTACAGTAGAAAACGAAACTAAAGAGATAGAACAACAACAACAAAATAGCGGAGACTGCAACAACAACAGACGGCTGCACTGACAAGCGCTTGTGAGCAAGAGGGTATGAGATAGCTCAGCTTTGGATTAAAAGAGTTCAAAAATATTTGTCATTGGCCATAATTTATGGGGAAAATAGAGCAGACACTAGACATGGATGAAGCTTTCAAGAGCGCATGCGCCAACTGCCCACGTTCGCACACAACATCAAATAGAGTATACTTTGAAAGGCTACGTGTTCGACTGTACACATACGCTAGCGTACGCATACAAAAACGAAGTATACTTGGGGCTTAACACTGTGGTTGAATGTGACTGAAAAAAATACCTCGCTTTTGCACTTTGGTTGTGCGTCGCCCTAATGAAGAAATCACCCCTGCAGGTCACTGTGTAACTCGATCGTCTTCCAAGTCGGATAATAAAATGGCAAACAAATAAATAAAATAAATAAATATAGTTAAAATAAAACAAGTTTTAAAAAGATTCCAACACAATCAATGTAACGCCAACACCTGAGTCCGGATCACCAGCAGAGCAGCGCCACCGCCATATAATAAATACACACTTCACTGCAATAACAAAATAATAAAATTAAAACATTACTGCTGACATGGGCGTGGATTAGTAAAAATAAAAATATATCAAATATAAATGAAATCCATAATTTTTCCATAACATTTATGATGTTATTAATCTCAGATTCTCATTTTCCAGGCCTGCATATCATATTTTAAAATTGCCAGATATTTTCAGGTTTTCAATTATCCTGAAAATATCTGGATATATTGTGACTGAAATTAAGTGACTTGATATTAATTCAGGACTCTTACTCATATGATATGGAGTAAATATTGGAAACATGATGAAATCAGACAGATCCAGGCCTACAGTTGTAACATTTACTGACTGCTGAACGGTAAGATTCTCAGAGAGTCAGACCAACACCAGAAGAATGGCAAGACAGTGTCAGTGAAGGTGGTTGTGAATGTGTGTAGATGTGTGTTAGTTACAGGATCAGAGAACGACACTGTTCCTCTGTCATAGTCCAGATTCACTCTCACACATTCATGATCCTGTTCAACAGAAAAACCAAACCCAGGCAGTCCGTAATGATTATAATACACACACCAGACATCACTTTTAAAGAAATCCGATCCCTTCCTTTGGTTTGATGCTGTAGTTACTCCAAGTCTCCAGTACTGACTCTCTTTAACCTCCACATCCCAGCAGTGTGTTCCTGAGTTAAAACCCTCTGAACCCAGAACACAGGGGTACCAGTCAAATCTCTCTGGATTATCAGGAAGCAGTTGCTTGTTCCTGGTCCATTTCACACTGGTCAGATCATCAGATACGACGAGATGTGGATTTGCAGTGTTTGGATCCAGGATCACAGGAGCTGATGAGACACAATCAACAGCTGCTTTTATTCTGATGTTCATATAATGAACACAGATTATTATGAATTATGACACTCATCTTATTGATCATCAAACACATCAGACATTTTCCTCTGATCGCTGTCAAGTGTTATTAGTTACAAACTCATTTTTATCGTCAGCGTTTGATGGCAAACTTTAAGAAAAGAGCTTAAGCTGTCACTGGGGCAGTACCTTTATAAAAGGTACGTCTTTGTACTGGAAGAGTCCATATTGGTACCTTTAAGGTACATATTAGTACCCAAAAGGTACACCAGTGACAGCTGTTGTACCATTTATCCTGAGAGTGCATCAACTACAAGCATTAAATGTGTGATCCAAACATTTCTGTCACTTCTAGAGAAACTGATATTTTGGATAAAAAAAATATATATATATATAAAATAAATATTTTACAATAATATAATCAAAAATAAAATAATCAAACAATCAGAAAAATTCTGTTCAGCATCATCTGATCATGGTCATTAAACTGGGTCTTAATTTGTGTGTTTGTTTTAAAATAGTTTGTTACTGCCTGTTTTGGTAACACTGGTAACAAATGGAGGGAAACGGGTAAAAATCCATGGAATAAGAGAAAAAAAATATATTGTTGTGCCTTTGGATGTCAGAATCAGAATGCAAATAATTTTTATATAATACTGTCGTCAAAGACGCCATTTGAAGCTAAACTCAGACGTTTAAACGGACAAACTATGGATGAAACCTGCTATGATTCATTTTAAAGCATGAATTTGATTTAAACAATAGGTCTACATAATATTCACATATGCGGTTAATAAGGGACATTGTATTAGCCCCAGGGCCATCCTTTAGCTAACGCGGGGCCCGGTGCGAGGTAGAGTGCGTGGCCCCCCTCGGTCCGTTCGCGATCACATTACAGGGGTGGGGTCCCCCTCGGTCCGTTCGTGATAGCGTTCCTTCCCCCTCGGTCCGTTCGCTGTGGGGCCCCCTCAAGCGCGGGGCCCGGTGCGACCGCACCAGCTGCACCCCCCTACAGACGGCCCTGATTAGCCCTACAGTTGAAGCATGAAATACTATTTAAACCTATAACATTTGACATAACATTTACCTATTTTATTTCACAATTCTGACTTTTTTTCTTGCAAATGCAAGTTTATATCTCCTGGTTCGGTCTTTATAACTTGATTCAACTCGACAATTGCGAGTTTGTCAATTCTGAGGGAAAAAAAGCCAGAAGTGTGGGATTATAAACTCATGATTCTGAGACGAGGGAAAGAGAGAATGACGAGTTGATTTTTCTTACCAGAATTGTAAAGTCAGAATTTTTAAAGATAAATTCAAAATTACCTTTTTTAGTATTTTATTCCATGGCTTGCATAGACTGGTATATTAAAACTGGCATTTTTTTGCCACCAGATAGGCTCCGCCCACAAAAAACGTCATCACTGTTTGCAAACACTGAAATTGGTCTATAGGGCTGTGAATTTACAGCTCGTACCTCAGATACACTGCCAAAACAAAACATCTGTTTGGTTTTGATTATCATGTCTATCATGCTGAAAACTTATTTGCATGCGCTTTAAAGCCATATCAGTTTAAACTTCTGAAATAGGGTTTTCTAAACGAACACATCTGAAGTACGCGCACAGAAAGCGGCTGTCACACGGCACGTGAGCACTAAACTAAGTTCTCTTTCATGTCTTATTGTGCTTAAACTGTCAAATACACACAAGGTTATGTCAAAAACACACATAATTTACATAAACACACTTGGTTTTGTCTGTGAACGTAAACAGCTGGGAAAGAAATTGCATGTTTAGATCTGTGTAATAACCCTCTGGTGTTGTTCGGTCATTTTAGACCCCAAAAAATTTTTTGAATTTTAAAAAAATCGCTACTTCATCAGAACGGTATGAATGTTGATGACTTTTATGGCAGTCGCTACAGAGTGGGGGAACTATGACGTCACTTTGTAGGCCAGTCGGATATTAGCATCACATTGGTTCCCTCGACAGAAAGCCAATAGGATTTTTACATAGGCTTTTGAATTATCGTAAAAAATAAGCTCTGTGTTCAACCATAGTTCATGAAACTTACACGTTTTGTCCATCAAGATAATCTTCACAAAATAATATAACTTTTATGAATTTTGAAGCCTAAATACCAACTATAAAGCTAAACTTAGGCTATAAACGAACTACACCACGGTCGTTCGCCTTCAACGTCACCACCACCATCCTTCCGACAACTTTTTCAAACTTATTTTTAGAAACATGTTCCATGATAAGGATTTACTCTGTGGATGAATTTTAATCCACGTTATGAACCTTTTCATGTAAAAACTGGAATAAATACAAAACTAGAGCCAAACTTAAAACTGAAATGAAACATTAATAATAAATATTATTATTAAAATTCGAAACAAGATGTTTCAGTCTGGTTTTAGAAAATACCATAATATAGAGACCGCTCTTATTAAAGGGGTCATATGACGTTGCTAAAAAGAACATTATTTGTGTATTTGGTGTAATGAAATGTGTTTATGCGGTTTAAGGTTCAAAAAACACATTATTTTCCATATAATGTACATTATTGTTTCTCCTCTATGCCCCGCCTTTCTGAAACGCGATTTTTACAAAGCTCATCGTGCTAAAAAAGCGAGGGGTGCTCTGATTGGCCAGCTATCCAGTGCGTTGTGATTGGCCAAATGCCTTAAGCGTGTGGCGGAAATGTTACGCCCCTTAACATACTGTGATGCCGTCTCCCAGCAGGATGAGACTCAGTCCAGCTGCTCTGCTCGTGCACATCCCATCGTCGGTTCTCTTTTAGCAGTTCAGTCAATGTACTGTTAGGAGTAACTGAATAACTCGGGATATTGGTTTATTTCGCGTCAGAGGGAGTGTCAGGCACGTTTATAAACCGAATAA